GTCTTTCAAACCAAGACAGAGGAGTACAGTGAGGTGGACTGCAAATTGGCTGAATGACCAGGTCCAGAGAGTGGTGATCAGTGGCATGAAGTCTAGTCAAAAGCCAGTAGCTAGCAATGTAACCCAGGGACCAACACTGAGTCTGATCCTGTCTAACAGCTTCATTAATGATCTGGACAACAGGGCAGATTGTATCCTCAGCAAGTTTGCTAATGACACACAACTGGGAGTGGCTGATGTGCCAGAGAATCATGCTGCCACCCAGAGAGGCCTGAACAGGCTGACGAAACAGGCTGACAGGAACCTCATGAAGTTTAATAAGTGCAAAGTCCTGCACCTGTCGAGGAAAAATCCCATGCACCAATATATGCTGGGGAACACCCAGCTGGAAAGCAGCTTTGCAGAAAAGGACCTGAGGGTCCTGGTGAACAACAAGTTGAACATAAGGCAGCAATGTGCCCTTGCCACAAAGAAAGCTGACGGTATCCTGGGCTGCCTTAGGCAAAGAAAGCATTGTCAGCATGTCAAAGGAGCTGATCCTTCCCCTTTATTCAGCACAGGTGAGGCCACATCTGGAGTGCTGTGTCCAGTTCGGGGCTCCTCATTACAAAACAAAAGGCATGGAGGTACTGTAGAGAGTCCAGCAAAGGGCCTCTGGCAGGTGCATCTGCCCTGACCTGGAAACGGGGCTTGCTAAAGACCCAGTAAAGACCAGGTCTTTCTGGAGACTGGACAAAGCACATAAAGAAGGTGGCTTTCCAGCCGTCGAAAACCTGATCACTTTGTTTGCCTTGCCTTCTCCCACTGGTGCTAACTAATTAGAGCTGACTACAGTTCAGACTCCACTCAGGTATAACTGGAGCCCTGCTGGAGAGCTGATTTGAGTTGGTCCTCCTCGGAACAGCAGGCCTGCGGCTGGGGACTCTCCCCTGGGGTCAGGACACCACCTGAGGAAATATCCTGGGATTGAGTGCCCTCACCCCCCTGCCTTTGATGAGTGAATACTGCTGGATATATCCTTGAGTGAGCCCTCGGCCCTTTTGGGTACCCTTGTGTGAGAGATTTTTTCCCCCCTTTTAGGGGATGAGTGAGTGCACATTTTGGATCATTTTTCTAAGAGGCCCATTTACAAAAAACTTAAGAATTCTTAAGTCAGCTGTGTAGTGATATATTCCCAACTAACATCCAAACTTTACTTTGGTCTGTCAGAGTGTTATCTAACTTTAGTTGGAATAAATCTCCATTTTGAGTAGCTGCTCTGGCTGTTTTGTGAGTACCTTTGCCTGGCATCCAGATTTGTGTTTTGTTTAGGTCTGTAGGGGTGTTCTGAGTGACTGCTCTGGCTGTTTTGTGGGTGCCTCTGTGACAGAGCCACAGAGGTGGTTAAGGGACTAGAGCATTCCTCCTATGAGGAAAGGCTGAGAGAACCAGGACTGTTCAACCTGGAGAAGAGAGGCTTGAGAGGGTTCTTATAAAATATACATACCTGAAAAGAGGGTGCAAAGAAGACAGAACGAGGCACTTTTCAGTGGCACACAGTGACATGAAAAGGGGCAGTGGTCACAAACTGATACACAGGAGCTTCCCCCTGTCGCAGGACAGGGGAACTGTCCTTCTGACAGAGCCCCGGGCAACTGGCTCTAGGTGGCCCTCTTTGAGCAACGAGGGTAGACTAGATGACCTCCAGAGGTCCCTTCCAGCCTCAATCATTTTGTGATCCTACAAAACTCCCTGTCTATATCTTCCCCAGAAAGCAAGCACTAGAGCTGCCACTGACATCACTGAGGACTTCTAAGAAACTGCTCTAAATACCTTGCCAAAGCTTCCTCCACTGGTCAGAGAGAGAGAACACATTCAATGAGTGCAATAATATTCAGTCAGATGCTCGCCCTTAGGTAGCTCTACTGAATTTCACTAAATGTAACATCTGGGTTTGCATCTCCAGAACAATTCCATTGGTTGAATACACTCATTCTGTCATCTAATGGGATGTCATGTTCCTCCAACCTGTATTGCAAATAAACGAATGCTAAGCCCACTTTAATTTACTGCTAGAAAGTGGCACAAGCTTAACTTGTTTTGCAAGGGTCATTAAAAAGGTTTTTCTCCTGTTATGATTTATCCTATTAACTCACAATTAGAGGGTTTTTTTCAGAACAAAGTGAAAAAGGTTTCCAAATGTAGTTTTTGAAATAATAATTACTTTTCTTCTGACTGGAGAGCTTACCTATTTCTTGGCCCTCAAAGAATGTAATGAAAAATATTCCTTGTCCAAAGGCAGTTGTAGAAAGAAGACACTACAACACCAGAGAAGAAACAGGATGTGAAAATCAAATAAAACACATAGTTAACAAACTCCATGAAATAAAATAACTTGTGATACTAAAAGCAAGCATAAAATAGACTTTTTTTTCATGTAGACTAATGGCAATTATTTACTTTTATGTTTTAACAATACTCCCCCACATACTACAGTAGTATTTGCTTCACCTTAAAGAGCTCCACTGACCTAGTTATTAATATTGAAAAACATTATTTAACTTCACAACAAGTTATAGACCATCATAAGTCTACTACACACTGAAAACCTATAATGTATAACACTGTAAAAGCATGCAAAGGAATATACTTTCTGTAGTAAAAGTAGTGGTCCTACTCATTTTTCTAAGACTAGAACTCAAGAAGAGACAGAAGGAACATGCACCTGGGTACTATATGCTGAGACAGGGTAAAACTATGGAAAGTCACAGCATAGTTGGAGGAGAAAAATTAAAAAAGGAAAAGAAATATTTACCATTATAATCTGAATGGTGAAACTCAACTGGTTCTGCAAGACCAACAAAACTATGTAGGGTAAAAAACTGATCATATACATAAGGCTGGCACACAAAGCTGCTGTATTGGCACTGCTAAAAAACGCTCCCAAAAAATAGCTTAACATAATAACTGTAACTCCAAAATCCTGGAGAAAAAGGAAGATGAGGAAGCCATTGCTATAAGCAAAGATACCACTTGCTTTTAAAATGATGGCCAGAGCACAGCTGCTTATTGTGAGCACAATGACATTCTCCAGAAACCAAGCAAAGAAATGAATGGCTGGGTGTACACCCATTGTCTTCATATACTGCAAAAGAACATAACAAAGAGAGTTAAAGTTAGGAAAAAACTTTTCTTCTTCTCTCCTTTATTTTTTTTCTTTTTTTTTCTTTTCTTTTTTTTAACCAAAATTAACTATTAAGTTGATTTAATATTCTAAAGCATTAAAAAATAAGGCCTGTCTTGCAACACAACGTTTAGAGAAATTAGATAATTTCCCAAATGAAAAAAAACTTAATCCAGCAATATAAAGATCAGTATAATTCTTCAAAAAAAATATATTTATCCATACAGAAAACATATAATAAAACCCCCTGACCTTCCATATGCTTAGCACCTACTAAGACTAGCCGTTAGTTAGCAAATCGTGAAAAAGAATCCAAAATAAAAACCATTCTAATCACAAGACCTTTTTCCAAACAACATGAAACATGCTTGTTGCTTTTTGTCTCAGGAACAATATTTGCATACAGACCTGATGCTCAAACAATGCTGTGAATCTGAGTTGGCAGCTAGAACCTACTGCCCAGAGGAAACAAGTGAAAAGAAAGCCAGATAGATTATGAGTGCATAAAAGTACCTCAAAGTTTAAATTTCGTATTTCAGTACACTTTAATAAATAAGTTTTATTTTCAGAGGCTAATCTGCCTCTTACCTCTTCAAAATGAATTTCTCTTTCATAAACCAGCTTGCGAACCATGCCAGCAACTGAAACCATCCATGTTAACATCATCATAAGTGGGAAAAAAAACCCTATATTGTTCAAGAATCTATGAAAGAACACACATGCAGAGTTGTTAGCCCCCAAATGGAAAATTCTTTTTAGCAGAATATTAGTAGACTAATATTGGGAATATTCTTAAAGTATACACAAAATAAGATCTGACATGAGCAATAAGACTTGTTCTGGCTATAAATGCTCATTTTTCATGTAATAAACTAAATATATGTGTTGGTACTATATTATATTAGTATTTTTCAAAAATAAAACTGATGTAATCACTTTTTAAGGCTCCGTTCAAAGTCCAACAGAATTCAGATTCGTGTCTATGGCAAATTAATATATTTGGACAGTAACGAGTAACATGAGCCAGTCAAATTTTGCTTCACTTTAACACATTACCACTGACTAATTTTAAATTCTAATAGTCAGGAAGTTTTAATGGTTTTACAAAGAATAATTCTACACATTTTCTTTTGCTTCATCAGCTTTACACTGTATTTCAACACGTACCAGGGACCAATTCACAGTTTGTGTACAGGACAACTGAGGATGGAAAGTGGGTTTCTTAGCATAATCTGAGTTAGTTGCACAGTATTTTGGCACAGTCTCTGTCCAGCAGACAACTCCACAGTATAGCTGCAAACCGCTCGTAAGGGGTCATTTGCCAGACTAAAGCTGCATAATGTGTTGTGGTCACAGCTGTTACACAACATTTCCTATGCTGTAATATTCTGGTATTGGACATACTGGTTCAATCCTGTGCAGAGACAGAGATTCACCCACTACAAAGACATAGTAGCTTCCAAAGTCCTCTAGCACTAATCTAGTAAGGATAATATATTGATTTAAAAAGCTGAAAGTTTACTTACAGATCACTGGTATGACAAGGGTAAGGCATGGCTTGCACCTGAATGGCTGGGTCTGAAACATCTGTCCCAGTCTGCGCTGAGATAATTGCCCTTTCAATCATGTCTTGAAGAGGAATAAAGATGTGGTTGTATTTAAACCCATCAGCTGGCAGCTTCTGGGGATGGGATTTCCAAGCTGGGTTTTTAATCAAATCCGTTCTCATGCTATAGAGAACACTGGTTCTAATGGTATATGAAATGTGCCGTGGAAGTAGAGTGCTAGAATCTTGTGTCTTGTTCATTGGCGTATCAAAGATGATACCTAACACACAAAGAAAAGGAGCGTCGTACCAAAGTCTATATGATTTATGCTATTTACATGGCTAACTCTTGGCCAAATATCATATGATAGCAGGATACGTTCACTGTCAGGGCAGGCCTCCCCAACACAAGAATGGTAGGTTTCATAGAGGCTTACATTTTTTACGTTTCGTTAATATGAAACATAAAACATTATTCACATCATAAATGCATTTGCAACAATCATTCTTATCTGAGAAAATTCCTTCTGTGATTTATATTTTTGAATTGCAGTTTATTCTCTCTGTATCCAGAACTAACCCCTTTTTGGAGACTGATCTCAATTCCACAATGAAAGCATTGGCCATGAAATCTGTTCATCAGAGGATAACAAACCCTGGAAGTGAGTGACAAAGTAAACAGTGCCAACCCACTAAAATTTACTCTGATTTTTAATTTTGGAATCAACCACAAAATTTCTGGTTTAGCACAGCAGAAATTGCATATTTATTTTCTGTAGCTTTAAAAAAAAAAAAGCAGATAAAAGCTTAATCTGTATCTGGAAAGAAGTAGTCAAATACAGCAAATTGGTTGTATTTTCTTTCTGGATGACCCAGACTTTTTAGGACTTCTTGATGAATGTAAAATGTTGACCTTTTTTCCTTAGGAAAGGAGAGAGATGTCTTACCTACCACCCAGCTCTCTGAAAGACAATATGATACAAAATACCTTGCTGAAAAGCTTATTTTTTCAACTGGCCAATCTCATTTGCCCTTTTATGTGAATATTTAATTTCCTAAGACATTTCATGAGGCTATGAAGGCTTTGAAGACTGCAAACAAACAAAGCAAGGAAAATCCACTTAAAGTTTCATGTCTTACTGTAGAAATGAATGTGTGCCTATATCTGAGCACGTAATATTGGCATGCTGGACACATTAGGTCCCTTAAAATACCATCTTCCCTCTTCAAGCATGTGAAGAGGTTGTAAAGCCACAGTACTGAAAAAGCTCCCAAGAAATATTTTGACTTATGTTAGCATACAACCCTTCTCTATGTAAGTGGAAGCAAAATGGATCTAGAGGCTGACAATTCAGTTTTCTGAGGGCCAAGATCTGTCTGTCTGTTTCTTCCCTTGAAGGGGCAATTTCACTCCCTGCGAAGTACACCCGAGAAGTTTTTCTTATCTCATGGTGTGGCCTGTTGGTTTTATATTAATCGGGCGTGGTGGAGGATTCCAGACAGAGTAGTTTCATTCTCTAGAACTGCTCTGATATGTCCTCTGTTTTGTACTTACAGGAGTCCAGGGAGACAATAAAACCAAAACACAGCGCGAAAATATGTGGCATACTTTATACAGATTTAGATGAGGGTCTCTTTTGGAAAGGCTACATGCAACTCAATGAATTTTATGCAAGAAGAGAATGTGTGTATGTAATAAGAAAAACATTGTTGTCTTTTAGACTCTTTTGTACAATTAACTGATTCTCAGAGATACTAATATAATGCAAGAAAAGGATAGAGAATGTAATCCCAGGGAAGAAAAAAAAAATAACTGTGGTTTAAGAATTTACTTACTCTGAATAAACAAGTCAATTTCTCCGAGGTGTTGGTTTAAGAATAAAACTTACCAAAAAAACCTTTCTTTCCTCCTTTTTGCAAAGCCAAGAATATACAAATTAAAATTTGAAAGCATGTAAACTACATGACCTTGTCATAATAGTCAAGTTTCTTCAGTACCATATATTTTTCAGCTCTTTTTATTTTACTTCAAATATTTATGACTATTCTTTTCAATATTTTGTTAGAAATAACAGACTCCAAGGATTCATTTGGCAGTTTCATGATTAAAACAACATAATTAATCTTTACAGAATATATTATAGCATTCAAATATCGGGGAATACATCTACGGTAAATGTGTTCTATTTTGCCTGTATTATATGTATTTTAACACATACTTTGAAGCTGTGTAAGCTTAACCTACTTTATCAATAAACACAGATAACAACTACAAAGTTTGACTTTTTCTGTCAATATAAATTTTAAATAAGGTACCTACTAGCCAAAAAATTATTTTGCTGCATGAGTTCATGAGCCTTCTCCTCCAATTTCTCAACAGAGTCAAAAGGCTGGAAACGATCCAGTAGCACACAGGACGAGATATTTACCACAAGCTGTGACAACAGGTCAATCTGTTTACTTGCTGAGCTGTTAAGCATCTTGTTCATCATAGTTTCTAAGATAAGGAAACAAATTGAATTTCCTTAGTTTTAATGAATGAGACAGACAGGTATGGTCTTTCTTGCACATCTTATAGAAGCAAATACCCTTTGTATTTACAAAAAGAAAGAAGTTTTAAAAACATAGGAATTTTAGTGTCTTCAAAGCGACAAAAATGTAAAAAATTCTAGCAAGTTTATAGAAAGAGACCGCATCCTTGAAGCTGTAGGACTTTTAGCATTTCCTTATCTTTCTGTAACTACTTCCACAAATACAAGTGAGTTACTCTACTTCAAACATCACAATAGAGATCCGTCTCTTTCATCTAGTAATGTATTGACCAGTTCTTCTCTCCTTGACAGTGCAAATATTTCAAGCACCTTGTTATATACGGCATAAGCATTTTGACTCAAGTCCTGCATTTAAAAAGAATCTGAAAAAAGCCTAAAACCCACCCAAAAAAAATTACCAGAGATCTCTTCAACAGCTGATCTTTGAAAGACTTTAATTTGAAACCAATAATTAGCTAAAAAAATTCTCTCTTAAGAATTAAACTGTTGCATATTTTCACATAAGGAATACCAACTAGCTTGCTGCTGGGAGTACAGCATACTTGAATGTTTCTGTAAGCAAAATATTGTCTTTCACAATGTGCATGAACTTCTGTACTTTAGCATAGAAATAACACGAATACATGCGCACATACAATCCACCAGTAAGTTTTATAATTACGATCTATAGAATTACCTATCTTGTATTTTTCCTGTTTATAAATGTAGCAATTATGAATAAAGATTCGGCTTTTCACTATTATCTTCATACTTCAAGTAACTGGGAGGAAATGTAAGAGTTTTATGTAAATCTACTAGGCAGAAGTACTATTTAAGTAAAAGGTTGCAAGAAGAATAAATTGGGATAAACCAGCAATGAATGAAATTAAGTCAGAAATTAGAAGAAATTTTCTAGTTATCGGGTGACTTTTGTGGTGGCACAGTTTTCAGTGATGATGTCAGAGCTATTTTTTTCCAGTTTTCTCTCTAAACGTAAAACTATTTCATTACAATGAGGGCAGCAGAGGGGTAGCATGGAGGAAAGGTACCTCTTTTTTTTTGTTTACCCTAGCTGTTATATTCCAGGTGACACGTAGCTCTCCATAAGGGAAATTCCTTGGTAGTGAAAAAACACATCTGGGAGAAATCACAGAAGGACAAGAGGGAAATTCAGTGATCAAGAATCTAAAAAGAAGAGCCTGCAGCACAACTGCCTCCCAGTGCCTCATGAGAGGTTCATAAGGACTGCACCCAGCAAGGAGCTCACAAGCTCTAGTGGGACAGGGTTTATGTAAAATTGGTTATGCCCAGGAAATTGTTGCAAATTGTTGGGTTGGAAAGCAAACATAGAGGAATACAGTTGCCTTGCCCACACAAAACTAGTTTAGAAAGTAAAGAAGGGTTTAAAAAAATAAAACCACAAACTCTTCTGCCTTCAGTTAAATATTTACTTTGGTCCAGGTGAGTAAAACTGACACAGTAACCCTGTAAAACAGTTTTAGTGATTTATAACTTTGCAGGGTCTTGTAACATGATAATTTTATAGAGAGGTTGGAAGAGTTCTACACCAATCCGCTCTGTGTCCATAACACTTTGCAGCAGGAGTAGCAGGTGAATAACAGGTAACTAACACTGTTAACCATTTTTATAGCATTGTAGAGAAGCAAAAAAAAGATACAAATACAAGTATCCCGGATTTGAGCATAATTAGAAGTCAGCTTAATGCGAGTGTAGATGTAATAAAGCTGGAAATATTTGCGTTAGTTAGAAGACAAAATACATAATCACACAGATTTGGTGATTTTAGAAAACTTGAGCTTCGGATGGAAACAGAGATTGTGAGTCGTAAAACCAATAACATATATGGATACATTTAAGACTTTAATTGGATTCAAGCAAGATAGCTACAGGACTAAAAAGCTGGTGCAGTATGAGTAATGAAACTTTTAAAAAACCATGAGAACAGAGGTTTAAGTAGTAGCTGCACATGATTATAGGCTAATAAAATGAAAAAAGCATATACAAAACAAACTTAAAAATAAGAGGGTATGGTCATTTTTCAAAAAGCAAAGTGACAAAGCAAATACATAGAAATAAGTGTAATCAAATTGTAAATGCAGAAAAGTGCTCTGGCACATTGCACAGATCAGTTTCACAAAGGCGTAAATGCTATTGTGATCTATAGCCCATATTGATTCTCACTTTTTATATGATGTTAATATCGACTGTATTCCATTAAAATGAAGACATTCTAGTTTCATAAGCCATTCTACTTATTTCCTGTATTCACCATCCAAGACTACTAACCATTTATTACATATAGTCAAATGTCCTTAGCTCTGTTAAAAAGCTATAGTTTGAGAAACACACACACAGATTTCTGTGATACTGATGTCTGCAACAGTGCAGATGGACCTGATAACTCCAGAGATCTTGATATCTACTTAATGAAATATTGTTTGTCCATAACCTATCATGTATTTCCCAGTGTTAGATTCAAATGAACAAAATCCACCTGTTATCCAACTAATATATTGAGATAGCTATGTTTCCAGCAGGCCTTGTGGGTTAAGAGACTTGCTCTTTCCTCTCTCCTCTTTCCAGTTCTTTCCTTCTGTGAGTTTCTTTTTAGTTCTGTTATGATCCAGCTTACCATGAGGGGTGAGCTGTGCCTGACCCAAATGAGATAACAGTTCAGCTGTTAAGAAAATCTTCCTGAGAGAGAGCAGATTCAATTTTGAGTCCATTGCCTGAAGATATTGAGCCCAGATTCTTACTTTCTGGATTGAATTCTGGACATCATTTGCCATTTTTCTTAGTGAAAGTGTGGACAGCTAGTCCTAGCCTCCAAACACAGCCTTCAAATCAAGGCCAGTTTCAATTAAATCTCAGCTTGTGTGTGCAAAAGAAAAGCTGAGAACTTCAGCTCACACCAACCATGACAGCACCAGCTCAGGGCAGTGGTACAATTTAAGACTGAGAACACACTTCATCATTTACAAGCTCTCAAGAGCTTCAGTGGATTTTGCCTATCTCCTTCTTAGAGGTAGGTACTGAAATCCAACAAAAGTTGAACTTCAAGTACATTTATTTGTTTATTTTAGCTCTAGACTCGATTCCTTTACTGTAGAGCAGACTTAGTAACATGCATTGTTGTAAAGTCCATTTTTTCCAGCAATGAGGGTCACACAGCCCCTTCATTTGGGCATCTGAGAGCTCATCTCTGCCCTCCCCTCCAATAAATGACTGGAACAGATTTCTCTCTGGTTCATATTTATCCTAACATTTGCTGATAAGTAACTACCCAGATCTGTCCTCTCTATCGCTATCCTCCTCTGAGAAGCACACAGCTCCCTTTGCACACGACATTACACTGTCTGTTATGGCATTTTATCCCACTTTTCTCTCTTTCTGGTCCTAAAAATCATGAACTTTTCTTAAATGACATTAGATTCTGCATTGGTATGGACAGTTCCTTCTGGCACATGTCAGCAACCATTTTAATTGTCATGAACCTACCCTACTGACAGGAGGACATATTGAATTTCTTTCAATTATCTAATTCTTATAGAACCTGTAAGTAACTTAAACTTCCATCATAATCCTTTCTCTTCTGCTCCTTAAATCCTTGTATACCCAAAATTACTCATGATAAATCCCCACCTTCTCCATTATAAATTGATCTCCTTGGGATATCTATCTGCCCCTGGAGGAGGACATACTCTACACTTCTGGAGGTCTGGCTGCCAGGGCTCAGTACCAATGCAGAAAGGGTATGGCCAAGGATGGCCGTGACCCAGGGGAACACTGCTGGAGAGCCCCATGCAGACACCTGAGTCAAGGCCCCTCCTTTCCACTAAAGCTGCACAGAGCTGTGTCTGGGCCTGCCCCAGGCTGCAGGTGCCACATCACAGCATGGCTGTAGGGTGCCCATGGACCTGCTGATCTGGGCCCAGACCCCCACCTGCAAGATGACGTCCTGGCCTGGCCTCAGCATCGCCCCAGGGCTTCATCTGACCCTGGTTACTCTCTACTGACCTGAGCCCAACCTTGCTGCTCCCTGATTATAACCATATCTCAGGCTTTTCTGAGACTCAAGGAGACCACATGCAACTAATTCTCAATAAAAGGAGAAAAAAAAAATACAAACAGGTTTGATTAAACACAGTGTATCCAATATAATTTTCTATTTATTTCCATATAAAGTATATAGATTTCCTTCAAAATTTACTACAAAAATTTATTAATACCTAATGAAACTGTGGCTACTGAGATTACTTCTCCCTTCCTTCCTTTTAAGTATAGCTCCTATGTTTATAATTCTCCCATAACAGTCTGCCACTTCTAATCTGTTACCAGATTTTTCAAGTCTTTTAATATTTTGAAATGCAAATTAACCAGTCACTCTGAACAAAAAAGACAATTAGAAATATTTGAGACAAACTCAACAAGATAATTTAGTCTGGTACTTTAGTATCAGCATTTAAGTTGTTAAAACATTCAATTTCAACTTAACATAGTTCTAAGTTCAAGTCTAATAAGGATAATTAGCATATGCATTTCTATGTACATACCATATATTTCCATTTTTTCAAAGAGTTTTTCCATGTCAATATCCAAGTTACTTTCTATAAAGTGCTTTATGAAATTGCTTTGCAATGCTTCCTAAAATGAGAAGTGTTAGATGGTGCATCAGGTTTATCTTCATTAAGGAAATATAAAATATACATATGCATTCATGTTCAATTCCATTACCAAGATTTCCTGCATAACAGTGGAGAAGTCACTCTCCATGTTTTCCATGTTCCCCTCCTAACAGGTTAACACCACACATTTCAAATAAAGAAACTCCTCATTGCTGTACATCACTGTCCTCCTTTACTGCAAATATTTTAACTGTGAGTCCATTCTAATGTCCCTGCAAGTCTTTTGGGGCAGAAACTCATTTTCTTTTCCTGTAAGACTTTTGGGCCATTCTACTATTAGCACTGTGGGTAGTAAAATAAATATATTTTTTAAAATTTTGGGAATTCCTTTTACATTTTATTAACTTCATTAAATCATTTGCCAAGTTCTAAGGGGGGAAAAAATCATTAGCTCTGTAAGAGCTCTACAAGAAACTCTTGATCAGGTTCAAGACCATCTAAGGAACCTGAAGGTGCACAAGACAATGGGACCTGATGAGATGCAGGTCCTAAGGGAACTGGCAAATGAAATGTCTAAGCCACTATCTATCATATTTGAGACATCATGGCAGTCCGGTGAAGTCCCCATTGATTGGAAAAGGGGAAACATAGGCCCCATTTTAAAAAGGGGAAAAAGGAAGACCCAGTCTCACCTCTGTGCCTGGCAAGACCATGGAACAGATCCTCCTGGAAACTATGCTAGGGCACAGGGAAAACAAAGAGGTGATTGGTGACAGCTAACACGGCTTCACTAACAGCAAATCATGCCTGACAATTTTGGTGGCCTTCTAAGATGGAGTTACAGCATTGATGGATAAGGGAAGAGCAATTGACATCATCTGCTTGGACCTGCGCAAAGCATTTGACATTGTCCCACATGACATCCTTGGCTCTAAACATGAAGAGACAGGGATTTCACAGATGGACGGCTTGGTGGATCAGGAATTGGCTGGATGGTCACACTCGAAGAGTCATGGTCAACAGCTTGATGTTCGAATGGAGTTGAGTGACAAGTGGCATTCCTCAAGGGCTGGTATTGGGACGGCCACTGTTTAACACCTTTGTCGGCAACATGGACAGTGGGATTGAGGGTACCCTCAGCAAGTTTGCTGACAACACCAATGTGTGGTGTGATCAACTCACTGGAGGAAAGGGAGGCCATCCAGAGGGACCTTGACAGGCTGGAGAAGTGGGCCCATGCAAACCTCATGAAGTTCAACAAGGCCAAGTTCAAGGTCCTGCACCTGGGTCAGGGCAATCTGAAGCACAAACACAGGTTGGGCAATGAGGGGATTGGGAGCAGTCCTGCGGAAAAGGACTTGGGGGTGTTGGTGGATGAAAAACTGAGTATGAGTCAGCAATGTAGGCTTGCAGCCCAGAAAGCCAGTTGCGTCCTGGGCTGCATCAAGAGAAATATGGCCAGCAAGTCGAGGGAGGTGATTCTTCCCCTCTGCTCTGGTGAGGCCCCACCTGCAGTGCTGCCTCCAGCTCTGGGGCCCCCAGCACAAGAAAGACATGGACCTGCTCAAGCAGGTCCACAGGAGGGCCACAAAGATGACCAGGGGGCTGGAGCACCTCTGTTATGAGGACAGGCTGAGAGAGTTGGGGTTGTTCAGCCTAGAGAAGAAAAGGCTCCTGGAGACCTTATAGTGGCCTTCCAGTACTTAAAGGGGGCCAACAGGAGAGGTGGAGAGGGACTCTCTATCAGGAAGCATAGTGATAAGATGAGGTGTAACAGTTTCAAACTGAAAGAGAGTAGATATAGATCAGATATTAGGAAGAAATTCTTTACTGTGAGGGTGGTGAGGCACTGGCACAGGTTGCCCAGAGAAGCTGTGGTTGCCCCCTCCCTGGCAGTGATCAAGGCCAAGTTAGATGGGGCTTGGAGCAACCTAGTCTAGTGAAGGTGTCCCTGCCCATGGCAGGGAGGTTGGAAGTAGATGATATTTAAGGTCCCTTCCAACCCAAACCATTCTGTGATTCTAAAAGCATCCTGGGATTTGCAACTTTGATGCATGATTGCTTGACAGCATTCCTTAATTGAACTGAAAATAACAGTTCAAAGTATATTTATGGGCTGTGACTGGATTCCACTTATTTTCCCAAAGTGTAACAAAAATTCATGTTTTCACAAGTCAAACATGGCAAAACTAAATTTTATTGGGGGGAAAAAAAGGACACAAATATGTAGAATGGGAAAAAATCCCAGGAACAACAATGCTCTTTTTTCTTTTAGTTACTATTTCCCACAATAGTTTTTCTTAATCATTTGCACACATTGTTGGAAAAAGCAAATGACAAACATCAAGTTCCAGAAAATATGTTATTTCCTACAACCTTGTATTTATTTTAAATAAGTGTATATAGCTTGTAGGTGTATCTACTTGTTTTATTTCCCCTATTGCTTGGTAACACTGGACATAGTGAGGTAACGTTGCTTTGAAGTGTTTTCATCTCAGAAGTTTCTCAGTATCACACTGTAGGCTCATAACCTAAAGCTAATCTGCCTCTTTTTCAGCTCTTTTAAAACTTGAAGTGAAATAAATGTGCTGGTTTACATCTATAGAAATTCTGCCTAGATCACATAGCAAATAATTGGAAAATAGGAAGCACTCCCACAGTTTACCAACCTGCAGTCGTGAGACCGTGAGGACATTCCCACTGGTTTTAAAAGCTTCAGACATCCTAAGCCATGTCTCAGAATATGTTTTCAAGTTTTCCACAAAACCAAAAGTGAAATTAGCCTGGGAAAAAAGAACACACAGAGACAAGTAAAGTAAAAACTGTGCATAGCAAATTTAAAAAAAAAAACACCCCAAAAAAAACCACAGGAAAAGCTGGCATGCTTCAGACAACCTGCAATATTTCACTTTGATAGTCAGCAGTAAGGATATCTGTGTTTTATTTTTTCTGCTTAAGAAATGAAAAGTATTTGTTGCAGTTTCTGAATACCAAGCAAATCAGTCTTCCTGCAGCATGTATGTTTCCTACCTGAAGTATCACAAAGACCTCTTTATTTTATAATGTTTCTTTCACAGAGAGTATCACAGAGGTGCTTCAGAAAGACAGGAAAAAAAATATAGTTAGGACATACTCAAAAGAAAGCCTTTGCAGACCTCGTGGGTGTTTTATTCAAACTACTTTGAATATATAACAAAAGTGAAAGTTAGAAGCATGGTTTGGACAATAAATTCAACAGATTAATCAATCTACTTCAAAACACTCTCACAGAGGAAGTCTTGAGTATAGCAAAATATTCTCTGTCCCAGCCAAACATAAGCTACAATTTTTCTCTTAGCCACTAGCAAACAACCATCAATTTTTTTCCAGCCTGTTTTAAACAGATCACAAGTGTGCTCAAGATTAGAAAATATTGCAGTATCTTTTTGTTTAAATTGGTGTTCTCAGTCACAGAAGTGCATTTAAGAACAATCCAACATTGTTATTATGGTAGAGATCGTGACATTTCCCAGCACAGTGTATCTGCAACGAGTTGTAAACTCCAATTTGGGACTATGCTTTTTGCAATAATTCCTATTGAAAGTACTCAATTTTTGCCAGACTACTTTAAGTGCCTTTTGCAAAATTCCACTCCGAGCACAACACAGGAAAACAATTTGTGGTGGTTCTTTCTTCCTGTTTGTAGCACAGAAGGCCCCCAAAAGACCCTCGAAGATAATTTCATTCTGCTGAAAAATGTATGCATTTAACTTCTATGAGATTCCCCATTCCACTTTCAAAGGGTGAATGATCCTAAATGTGTCAAATTTGGTGTCAAATCAGCTAAACATGTTCTTCTGTTAACCAGCAACACCGAAACCTCATGGACTGAAATCCCAGGCCTGAATATCAGGATCACATAACCCACTGTCCAGGCATGATGGTGAACGCTGAGGGAGACCAGAAAGGCTGCAAGGGTAGCGAACAGCCAAAATGGGAGATTGCTATTTCCCCAGTACAGAGCAAGCAGAGGTCACATTGAAACATAAGGAGATAAAATTTCCAGATCTAATTAGAAATTGTTATACCAAGCAACTCATAAGATCTGAGCTCCATAGAGGTCAGATCGTATTGCTGCTGACTTGATTCTGAATGACACAAGAGATTTTTATTTTTTTTGCTGAGGTCACTTTCAAAGAGCTACAGTAGCCATAATGTGCTTGTATTCAACCTCCTTATATAAACAAACAAACAAAAATTACTGCAGTAGCATGGATTTTTGGAAAATATGAACTTTATATAGTGTGCAAGCTTATTTGAAAGAAATTAAAAGCAGCAAGGGGGTAAGTTGTGTGCAGGAGGTACAGAGACTATTTAAAGCAGCATAGAGGAAACTGAACAAATACATGCTGCCTATCAAAAAAAGATTTGAGAAAGACCATACCCATGCACACCCATACTACACAGCAGCAAGCATTTAGAAAACATTCTTTTAAAAAATTGTAGTTACATCCACATAAGAAAAAAAGATTAAAAAAAAGCGGGTTGTTTAATTTTTTTTTTTTTTTTGCTTTCTTATTCACTGCAGTAGGCCTTTGGGAAGTTCCTGTATCAGAAGCCTTTTACATGAAGAAAACTTTAAACAATCTGTCTCAAATTGAGGCAGTGGCAAAAAAAAAATCATATAATTTATCAAAATGAACAATAAGTAGTTTCCAGGACAAGATAACATCCAGCCAAGAATTCTAAAAGCACTCAAGGATTAAATAGTTGAAGTACTCACTGTAGTGTAACCTCCTGATTAAAATTCCCTTGTTATCAGGGAACTGGAAAATAACAAATACAATGCTATTCATTAAAAAGATGCTAGGAGAATTAGAGGACTACAGACTAATAATTCTGAAATCTCTACTAAGCAAATTTTATTTTTGCTATAACAGTAAAAATAAATTACAATAAAGAACAGTAGTCAAAATACAGAAATAAATATAGTTGGGAGTTATAAACAGGATTTTTAAAAAGAAGTTGTCTCAGTTGAAGGTGAAGAACAAGCAAGTGAGTAAGAGGGTTGTTGATGAAGAACATCTCACACGTGTTCAAAATTATTTGGATTTTTATAATTTCTTACAACTCATTCTTGATAGAATTTCCATCTACAAAAACAAAGAGCAGCTTCATTTTTAGCTGGCTAAAAATTTAAAATTAATTATACTCAACCCTAGAGAGGTGGCCTGTTGCCAAAATTAAGCTATTTAACTGCCAAACATGAAACCACTGAAACTTTATGTCCAATTCACAGCAGAAACTATAAAGTTACTTAGTATCTGCTATCTTGTATGTGCTTTTTGGCTTCGTTTTTTTAACTATCTTTAGAGAATGTCAGAATATCACTATGTACTCCATTGACATGGAAAATAGTTACCATCACATGTAAAGTTACTAGTCTTTTTGTGTACCACTTACAAACAGTAATGCTTTTTTCTAGGTTTTAAATTAACCTGAATTCCTATTCTTGCAATAAGTAATACGCCAGGGTAAAAATCATATATTTGCAAGATAAATGCAAAATTTGCACTGAACTCTAATGTGTACTTAAGTCAGCATCCATCCTCTTACAGAAGTGCCTCAAAGCTAGTCATGAACAAACATGTCACTGCAGATAATCATGCTCAAGACAGAGCACCTACCATACTAAAACTGCAGAGGCCGTAGAACTGTTGAATAATATCAAGTCATCACCGTCCACATCTACATCAGCTCAGCTACTACTGGTCATTCATACTACTGGTGTCAGGAACATAATTGGGAAGAATGTTCTGTAGATTATTATTTTTAAAACACAGCTCAGTTATTCCCTCAGAACAGGCTTTTGTTCCTGGGGCGTCCCTTCCCCACAGCTCCCTATGCTGCCCCATTGGAGTTCACATCATAAAGAAGTGTTGAGGGCAAAAGCTTACTTGGAATACAGCTATCCTACACCTTGATAAAACGTAATTCACATGACACTTCTGCTAATGTGGGTTTTTTTGATCTTTCTATACAAGGTTTAAGGAATCTTGAACAAAATTCTGCTTTTCACACTGAGATGAAACTACTGTAACAAGAAGGATAAAGTTTAAGAGAAATATTAAGCTTAAAGTGGGAACAAGGTGAGAGCTCAGGAGGTAGGGTGGATCCAGTTTTCTGAAAGGCAATTATCCAATTGCTTCTGCCTATCCTGAAAGAAGTGGACCTTTAAAATGAAGTACAAAGACAAAATCAATAAACAGATATAGCGTTTCTTTCAATACTCACCTTCTCCATCACCAGGTCAATCATGTTGATGTTTGAGTTGTACAGAATCTTTCCATGTAATACAGGTTTCAAGAAAGTCCACAGCAAAGCCCCATTAGAAGACTGCAAAATGTCCTGATAAAGCTTCAAGCAAAATGGAGCTGCAAAAACAAAGACAGACTCACATTTAAAACAGACAACACAGGTGAGGTTGGATTTTTTTTTTTTTTTAAATTCAAAGAAAAGCTTGAGTCTTAATTTAGGGTCTGCCATGACACCAGGCCAAATACTATCCCACTGCCACTAAGCAAACACTACAGGTCCTCAAATAGAAATTGTTTAACCATAGTCTATGACAGTGTTGATGGTGCAAAACTCCAAACATTAGACAAGAAAAGAATCAGAATCCAAAGAGCCTCTGACAATTGCAAAAAGCAGCCCCTGAACTCCATCTGCCCTAAAAGTTACATTAGTGCATTTCAGAACGGAAGGACACACGCAAAACCTCTGCCCACAAAACGAATGCTGAGGGAAGAGTCACTTAAAAAATCAGACTCATTTCACACCCTCCTTTGTTCTGCAGCTTTCTACTCCTGCTTAAGAAAGAAGTACAAAAACACAAATTCCTTCACAAATACAGAGTTTTTTGTATAATTTCATAAGAACCTACCAAAAATACAGGAGAAAAATTGGCATGACACTTAACTTCGATTTGAAAAGTCTCATCAAGTCACTTTTCCAATCCTTAACCAAAAAACATGTTCCTATATCAGATGGGGCTATTAATGCATCAGGGTGTGTGTCCTTCAGAACTAGGATCTAAGCAATAGCTTCCAAAATACCCCATTGCACTTGCACTCAAGCAAAGGTAATGAATTTCCTGTGAGAAACATTTAGATTTTTATGCTCAGCTCATATGTTTTGGGTTGGTTTTTTTTAGTTAGTTTTTTGTGAGTGGATTTAGAAATATCCCATTTCCAATGCTGTGAGGAAATATTTAATAACGCCACTAGCTTCTCAAGGAAGGCGAATTATTGTACATAATGGAAAACCAGGCCAAAAACTCCTGCTAAAAGTTAAAGAAACAAGTGTCAGAAACATATCGTTAAGAACACCCAGTTCTTTGCCCAAATTTTTACTTTATTCAGGGAAACAATCATTACTAAATACAATTCTTGCTGTGACAGCACAGAATTAAGAGGCTCCAAGCTGGCCAGTCAGAAACATCAAGATGCTAAAGACACACAAGACTTACTAACCTGAGTGCGCTGTGATTTTCAGAAAGTCATTGGCAAGTGTCTGGTACGCAAAATACATAAAAGTTAATCACTGTGAAGGAGTACAAGGCAAGTTTCTGTGGCCTCATAGAAATTTTTTAATTTTCATTTTCCATTGCCTCATTTACCAATTTGTAAAATATAGGAAACAGTATTAATTCACTAATAGAAATGCTGGAACTAACTAATGCTTTACAGATATTTCAAGGTCCTAAGGTAAAAGGTTTTACAACACTAGGGTTGTGAAAACATTTAAAAAAAAAATCATCAAGAAACAGGTAGTGCTTCTGGTCTAAACAGCTCTGAAAGAAACTAAGTCCAAAACCAATCTCTCTAATCAGCCATCTTCTAACTCCATTCTTCAAATAGGAAAGTAAAGCAGAGCTGCCTGCTTACTGTTGTCCCACACACAAGTGAAAAAGGCTAGGGCAGGGCTCTGGCCCCTTCCTAAGGGTCCCAGCCAAGCCAGAGCCAGTTTCTGGCTGCAGAAACTGCTGAGTGATAGAGCCATGATTCACAGTCACAGATCCTTCCTTAGTGACACTCTATCACTGTATTCTTTTCTTGCACAGGCCACCGAGGCACTAAAAATGTTATTAACAGTGTTAATCAGGGTAAGTCAAATGCATATTGAGGAAAAGGAGAAAAGGTGAAATTATGTAAGAGCTAAGAGATTTTTTGGGCACTTGATGAAGAGAATATCAACTATTAAAAAACTTATTTCATCCAGAGGGCTTGCATATTTTACTGCACAATAATACCACAGCTTTGTGTTCACAGAAGAAAGGCATGCAGCAATAAATTCTCAATCTTGTATCTCAAAGATATATTTTTAATACCAAGTGCTTTAAAAATTCTAATAAATATGTCTCTAAACCAGGAATATTCTTATTTATTATTTGCAAAGATAGAAAACAACCAGAATCACTGGTGTGTCATCCACAATTATCTTGTAGCCTTTAAATTTTTATTGACCAACACTTGTACTCACAATTACAATGTCAACTGAGATGTTAGCTGGTATATAAACATTTCCATTTAAGAGGGAAAAACTTATCTAAACTCTGAATGCAAGTAGTGATTGATAGCTTTTCTTACTTGAGTCTTCAGGAATGCTGTATTTTGCCATATTGTCCTCCAAGGGTCCCATGATTCTGGGCATGTCCATGAACAGGTTCACATGGCTGAAAAATGAAGAGTCTTCTTTACACACTGCCTTGATTACAGACTCCAGGGATCCAACAGCCGAATTTCTGAACCGCCCACCTTGCAAGAACTAGAAAAAACAGAAATGCAGATGAATCAAAGTTGCTTTTAGTAGCTTCAGGGAGTAGCCCTGGTGTTGTCTCAATATTGGCATCCAAGGAGATTGACAAAATTAGGCTGTTGAAACTGCCTACAAGAGTGAGGTCCTGCTGTGCTCTTTTCTGTTCTCCTGATCACCTTTATCATGGGGTGGGGGGGAGGGAAGGTAATGTGGTTTTAATTGCCAGGATACTCAATGGAGTATGGTGTACTACATTAAACTTTGAGAACTACTGTTTATTGGTTAGGTAGAAAAGGAATATCAAGACAAATGGACTACAGATTCCTTGATTAAAATGTTAGTTTTCATAGTAGGCTCTTCTGGTAGATTACTCCTGTCAAAGACAGCACGAACAACCAAAATCATTTTGCACATGAATGTTTGCAGGGAAAACAGTTGCTAAGAAGAAAAAATATGCAAGTGCACATGTCCTAAAAGCTTATTTTTCAAGTACATCCTTTACCTTGTTAGATGCACTTCTAGGTTTTGCACATCTTTAGTCATACCAGCATTTATTATTGCCATTTTCTCATGACTAGCATACAAGTAATGAGGAGAGCAATCCGAGTGCTTTCATGGCTTAAGCACCATCATTCACCACACTCAAAAAAACCAGGAAAACCCTCCCCCAGCCTACTCTGTGCAGCTTCATTTTTCAGATAACGTGCTCAGTTGTAACCAGTATTTCATGGAAGGCTGTACAGGTGCACAGTTCTAAGAGAGGATACGACTGCAAGGCAGTGTGTTGCTAGAGTACAACTGGAAGACTCATCGTCCCACCTGATACTCATTACTGTTGCAGATGTTTGTCAAGAAAAACATGACTAGACTATCAGATATCACTCGAAGACTACACAACAGGCCAATAGAAAAAAGACTGTGATATGTCAACCAAACACATTTGACACTAAAATAAATTAGCATTTGATCATTGGAATTTATTTTTTTTTAAACAGAAGAGTCAATTTTCATAGTACAGCACTTTACATCAAGAATAAATCACAGACGGTTTAGAGATTGTACTGCTAGAAAGAGTTTATCCTGATCAATGCATTTACTGAAGTGCCAGGTGCCTCTTTAGGAATCCTGGATGAATACTAGAAAGTGTTATTTAAAACTCAGTGTTGTCTGCTCCCAAAATCTGACTTTTTGCATACAGTTTCAGCATACAGCATAGTAAATAAATAATATCCACCTTTCATAATACCATCATCTACAGCTTTCGAATGTGCTTGCATGGACTTTACTGGAGGAATAAACTTTATTTATGCACAATGTTGAATAAAAGTAGTTTTGAATCCTTATTAGTGACTATTTGCACTCGAAGGATAAATGAGGCTTATTTCAGTCAAAGAGCACAAACTTGCTAATTAATTCCAGTTCCAATCAAAATAACTTGAAGTTCAAATAATGAATATTTATGCGGTAAGCAGCCACCAACAGACTGAATCTACTTACTGTCTTTCAACTGAATATCCACTGACTCAACAAGATATGTTTCCTAAAATTTGGCTTTGATAAAGTGGGATAACTACATAGGATGGATGTTCACAAAAAGTTATCTTTGATCCAGTTCTAGTTTAAACTAGGTGATGTTGGTCTGTAATCAAGGCTGATGAATCCAAACAAGTAGCCTCCTACAAACAAAGTAATCAGTCAAGCCATTTGCTCCAACGAATTCATGGAAGAGGAAGGCTGGTACTGAAGATTAAAAAACTATTTGGAACTGGATTCTCAAATGGGGGCAAAAAACTTATAGCATAGAGGCCTCATTTCTCAGTGATGCCCAGTGACAGGACAAGGGGCAACAGGCACAAGCTGGAACACAAGAAGTTCTGCTTGAACATGAGAGGAGCTTCTTTACTCTGAGGGTGACAGAGCACTGGAACAGGCTGCCCAGGGAGGTTGTGGAGTCTCCTTCTCTGGAGACATTCAAAACCCGCCTGGACATGTTCCTGTGTGACCTGCTCTAGGTGGTCCTGCTCTGGCAGGGGGAGTTGGACCAGATGATCTCCAGAGGTCCCTTCCAACTCTTACTATTCTGTGATTCTGTGATTATAGAAGTAATCAAAAAAATTTTAAATCAATTTCAAAATCCCTTTTTCAGTTAGAAGTTGACAGAGGAGACAATCTGTCTTACTCTATTCTGAAGGTCCATGTATTTTTACATTAAAAAGCCTTACATACTTTATCTGGCAATCTTCCTGGGTCACTGAACTACTTTGCTGTTAGTTGTCATGAAAGTAAAATTCCAGAAGGATGGACTCTTTTGGAAACAGAAGAAAATATTTAGGAAGAAAAGTGTATAAGCAATATCTGCACTTTAGTCGCATATTTATTCAGTGGCATAAGTTTGGCCACTAGAAAAGAAGCAAAAAAAATAATCAATAATTAAAGGTATTATTGGAAAGTAGAAAAAAAAAATCCATTTAAACCTGAAAAGGAAAGGATACTTAACAATAAACAACTTTTACTAGTCTACAAAATGAGAATAAGTTACAGAGACAGAAGAGCCCTTCAAATATCAAATATCTCATTTATTAACAAATAATGGATTTTTTAATCCACTACAAATTCTTAGGTGCAAAGTCAAACACCAAATTCCCAAGAAAAAAAGGAATTAACAAAAACTAAGAAAACAAAGACTGCATCAGAAAAAGTGACCAAGAAAAGATGAGATGTAAAAAGGAACAAAAATTCCAAGGTTAAATCTATGCTATGTTACAGGACTATATGGGTTGCCATGAAGCAAAGATTAAAACTGTGACCAGAGGGCCCTCTGCTGTTCCATTTGTTCCTTTGCAAACTTTTTTAAACAGGATCTTTTGAGGAGTTCTATCAAATAAGCAACTTTGGAATTCGCTCTAAAAAGAATACATTATTTGTTCGAAGGGAAGTCTGGCACAAGCAGAACTAATTTAAGGAAAGCAGAAAAGCTGTAAGCATCTGATGAAAGCCACCTTTTATTATGGCAGCCAAAGAGCCATCCAAAGGGGAGAGCCTCAAAAGCAAAACTAATATGCACAGAACAGCATCTTACAACACGACTCTGTCACACAGATTAGAAGATCCTGGGAAAGATTCATACCACTAGAGAAAACAGTATTTAAGTAAGTGTTTACTCTGTGCTGTGGTCAGAAACCAGTTTTCACATTTTACACCTGAGGGATCTTTTAGACAGTGGCAATTTTAGAACCAGATTCAATCCTAAATGTTCCACATAGAACAGCAAATCGAGAAGGCAATCCCATAGGGGATTTTTCTCACTTATTTAATACTAGATCCACCCCTATGCTAGCTGTATAGATGCGCACACAACAACTGCCCTTAAAGACAGGGACAAAAGAAATTTCCTCACTCACACCTCATGCCACTTTTTTTTTAAATGTCAGGCAGAAATATCAAATAAGAATCTGAATTGGCACAAACAGGAACCCATGGCACAAGAACTACACTTGCTATCTTGAAACCTTATCCTTTAAAAACAAATTTTTTCTTATAAGCAAAGTTATAGTCTGCTTATCAAAACAACGTACAGTATTAGTAGAAAAGGCATGGCTATCTCCAAAGCACAGATAATATATGCTATTAATCAGTAGCCTGACAACATATTAACTTAGGCTATGACCTCATAAGTCAATGAAAAAAGATATTACAGAAACAACACATCAACAGTCTCAAAATTACCAGAACGCTTGAAAGAGACCAAATGAATCTTCCTAGCGCCTATGCACTCTCTTCTCTCTAAGTTCCCAACTTTCTAGGGCACAATTGCTATTAGTGTTCCTCCTTACTAAGCACATATCCTTAACACAGCACATCATGTTGGGAATTAAGTTTGCATATTGAAATCATACACATACCTGCTCCAATGCAGAGATGTCAAGCACACCGGTATTTTGAATTCCTTGGAGGAACACTGGGAAGTTTGCCATGGCATGATGGGCTTTATTGAGAAGAGAGCTGATACTAGAAACCACATCCAGTATCATGTTTAGTACACGGCCTGTCTCAGATGGTGTCTTAATCTTAGAAAAGAAGGAAAAAATCACAACAATAAATTGCAATTAGAAACAAATTTGAACCTTTCAATGAAACACTCAAAAATATTCAGTGTTTTTCCAAAACCGATTACACAATATTCCTGCAAACCATGTTTAACAAAACTCCTTTTAGTATAACCCCCACAGTTACTCTGAAACTCAGCTATAGAAAAATTCTCTGGTAATGTGAGACAAATCAGGAGTTAAAATTCAGAGAACATGTTTATACCTACCAAGCTGAAGAGAGCTCTGCTACCCAAGATGCTAATGGGATTTGCAACAACCTGCCCCCTTGGAACCCAGTGTAAATGAGAACTTCTCCTTCAACAGGTTCAAGATGTTCAATGCAACAGTTTAATATTTTTTAAATAATTAATAAATTAAATTAAATCTAGCAAGGACTGTAGTTGCTTTAGGAATCATATTAGACAACAAACTTTCCGGTCACACTATTTCTCCCTTTGCATTTTTCATACACACTGCCTTTTACGTAAAATAATTGTGTAAGTAAATAATTTCATTCCCTATTTGAATAGAGTTCAATTTTCTGTTTGCCATTTCCACCATGCAAGTTTCGGCATTATGAATTTTCTCTCTATTTCCTTTGCTTTTATAGGTTATTTAGATGAAATGGTGATACAAACTGATTCATTGTTACCTGCCTATGCATGATAATAAAAACAATGTAATCTCATTATATACTTTCAGATGCTTCCTATGATTATCTTTATTTTATCCACCTTTATTTGACTTCCTACTATAATGACATCTGTCCTTAATATTCTTCTCAGCCTTCACCCGTTTTTACACATAAAAAAAAAGAAACAGATAATTCAAAGTAGAAATCTTTTCCTTCTGATATCATAATCTATTCTGGGAAATGGTCTTGTTTTTAAAAATGTGTGGCCAACCTGTTTAACTGTGAATGCAGCACCCAGAATATATCCATCTACAGCTTTAGATAAAAAAATACTCATCCTTCCAATGTTATAACTATTTCTCAACTATTTGTACTTACAAGATTTCATGTTCTGTCAATCGATTATCCCAAAAGAACTGAAATAAACATCTGCTAACTATCAGAAATCCCGTCCAATAATTTTGATCTTACAAGTAAAAATATCTCACTGAAAACCCACACTAGATCCCAGATTATCTCCAGTCCTACAGATAATATGGTTTTGCTACAGACTTCTGCATCCCCTTCATTAGAACTTTGGAACTTGTACTATTCGTTTGACCTGGGTCATACAAAATATAGGAGGTTTGCCCTTAGAGAGGCTCATCCTGAGAGCTGGAAAAGCTCCTTCCTGAACGAGCCACCTGAATGCCAACATGACTTCTACAACAAATAAAATGCATTCCAGAGTGGTATGAATTTTTCCTAGAAAATAATTGTGTAATTCTTGTAATGTGAGCTCCTATGTTTGTTTTAGTTCCAGTGATTAAGAAGTGACTAATTGCATGAACAGCAAACTCTGCTAAAGATTAATAAAACTGTCTTTGACCTTCCATGTTTTTTCTAAAGCTTTCATAATTAACTCCTCGGTGATAGTTTTCCAGAGGAAGCAAGAAATGGAATATAGTAGCACCTACCAACCCCATTCTGTTGTTTTGTGGAGCTAAATGAAGACAAAAAAATGCCATATGTCCAATGTTTGCTTCCACAGAGAAAGAACATCTGAAGAAATAATAGAATTATTCATTTATCTACCCATGTGCTTTAGACCACCTTCAAAAGAAAAATAGGAACTGAATGTGTTTTTTCCATCTTACCTTGTAAACGATATGACGTAAGTTCAAATTCTGTATAATCAGTACAAACATGGTGTACAAATCCAGTGCTGGTGAAGAACATAGTTCTTCCACTGCCAGGGTAGTTTTATTGTTTTCAGGTAGCTTTAGCAGCAGGCTAAGCACTTCATCACATCTTCCAGTTAAAGCCACCACAAAGTCACTGTAAAAAACCTATCATAGTGTATGTGTATTAATTTTTTTTCCTCCCTGAAATGCATCACCTTATTTTATAGTCAATAAGGTGAGAATTTGCGTCACAGTAACATGACAATTTTTAATCAACAGACCTGAAATAATGAACTGTAGAGCTCTGTATCAGATTGGTGTGTTCTTACTTTATATTCTATGTACATATAAAGAGATGAAGTATATTTCTTATAAAGATTTACTTCCATTTGTGAACAGGTTGCTCATTCATTCTATGAGCATTCATACCACAAGCAGGCTTATTTACAATGCTGAACACACCCTTTCTAGCAGATATACAGCTTTGCTGCAGAAACACCTAAAGATCAAAATCGAGGTGTACGAATCACTAAAATCAAACAATATGGACCTTCCTTCTTTCAGAGGACACACATATTTAACACTTAGGGATATCTATATGGCACAATGTTCACTCTGAGCCAGCTCACATTTTCCAGTTCCATACTCCTTTAAAGTGTTATTATTTAATAGCTGATGAAGGGCAAATGCCTAAGCAGACCTTGGGCAAGACTACAATAACAACTCCTTGTATAATGATGGCTTGTTTCTTCCTACAAAAATGCCACATCAAAAGACAAATGCTTGCAGCCCAGATCTCAGGAGTTCTTAGCTACCCTTTCTCCTGAAATGCCTGAAAGAAAGAAAATGGCATCAAGTCCAGAAAAATTACAAGTTTGGAGCCTGTAGGAGCCAAAGTACAGCACTTAGGGCTCCATTGTATTCCTTAGGACAGAACCTGCCCATATTGCCTCCACTGAATGCATCTGTAGCTAGTAACAGTACTCAGTGAGGGAGAGGATCCCCAAGAAAATCAAATTAGGAGCCAAAGTTGGTCAAGATATGCAATTTAACTCTTTCATTTCTATGAACATTCTAATTTCCAACTTATGAATTTGACTTTTGGATTTTTATTCTGAAACAGAATTTTGCCTTTTTGAGTCCAAAGGATTCCCTATATATTTAAATATTCCCTTTTTTGTGTGTGTATGAGAAACAGACTATGAGTATAAATATAATTCTGCTAGCAGCAGAAAAGGATACCAATTTGGACTTCTTGTTGTGGGCAAAAATTGACTCTGTGAAACAATTTGAAATTTATTTCCTCATATCCCACATGAATATCACCATTTCAGTCCAGTTTTAAGCCATTCAGTGTTTTATTCACTCGATTAAGTCCCTCTGAACTTTCCTTGCAGCTTTGTGAGTACCAGAATCCAAACTCCTATGTTCAGTAAATGAATGCTTATAGTCTTCAGGTTACAGGTTTTGAGCAGTTCCAAAACACTTAATCACATGGCAATGAGCATGGCCAAAGCATAATATTGTGGTAGAAATTAAGGGTAAGTGAAATAAGCACAAACAATTCACAGGCTTACTCTTACCATTCCAGAGGCAAGCACAGTAGTACTTAGTATACAGTCACAGAAATATAGTGCTGCAATGGGCCCGCATTCATCATCAGGGTTATCAGACAGTGGCTATATATACCATAAACACAATTTGCATGCCTAAATTGTAGCTTAAGAAAAGTGCTTGTGTATTTTGCATAATCAGTAAGAGACATAGGCTTTAATGCTCCAGTTGGACTGGAGGAGGATTTAAGCACTTAAAAAATTCTGTATAGATATGCAAATGTGAGATGTGTACATCTAGCTAAACTCTACATAGGACTTTGGCAAAAAATGATGATAGAAAGTAATTTGAAAATTCAGTCAATTAGCATTATTATTGCAAAAGATCAAAGGTGCACCTAATCCCATTTAACTGAGTTGCTTCCAGATGACTTGTCTCATTACCATTTAGTGGTATCAAAATAACAAGCTAACAATAAAGGCAGTCACACTGCCAAAGAAGCAGAAGAAAAAAATCATGTATAAGTAGTTATGATGGTCTGAACTGCCTTTTTAATAGCCACACTTTTCATGAACAAAACTTGGAGCTGTTTCTGTAACTAGAGCATCAGTGACACCCAGTGGCTGCTTGATTGACTTGATTAGTTTATACCAAATATACCCCTGGAGTCTTTTCAGTCATACAAGTATTAATGGGAGAGAGAACCTGTAAGTTAGGTGGCGCTTTTCATGATTTCTATTAATCACTGGGATCACAGGAAACAGCAACAATGATAACACACACTGTCCTTCACTCAGAAAACTTACACAATCCACCCTTTAGAAAATACTCAAGAGATAACAGATAAATAAAGTGATTAGGCAAGATACTGATAAGATAATAAGAACAGTGAGCACGTGAAGGAATAATAATAAAAAAAAAAAATCAGAAAGCTCCATACTACAAGGATCAGAGGTGGGAAGATACAAAATTTCTCAAGTAATCTCATCTTTTCTACAGTACCAAAATAGCAAAATCCAAGTTCTGTGTCAGCACAAGAGGGTAAAACACTGTTGAAAGTAGTGAAACAGTGCCATTTAGACCAGAAGACTATTCTAACATAAATTGATCTCTTAATGCTTCACTTTATTATTCTGAAATCCTAAATCTCACAAAATACTCCACATAGAAGTGACAAGTGAAAATATAAGCTTTCACACAAACGAGGTGGTTAGTTTTGTTTCTGTTGGCTCATCAGGCTGTAGGTTGACCCATTAATTTAACACTTCATTTTGATCTTTTACCTTTGAATGAGAGATACTGGCTTCCAAAATGGTATTGATAGTTTCTTCAGAAATATTGACAGAACCACCAATGTCCAGCCTCAGCTGAGTAACATTCTGCACACACTCTTTGACTTTCACATCTGGAAGAGAAGAAAAACAGTGCTAACAGTACCAATCTGCTTAATTAAATTGCCCACAGACTGTATCCTTTTCTTAGATTTATTCGGAGGGGTAATAAATGACACAAACTTCATATCATGTAATTCACTTCTAATCCAAATGTAAAGGTCACTCTCCTGGCAAACTGAAGGGCTTGTGCATCTGTTTGCATTATCCTCTAAAAGCACAGCTTATTCCACATCCCTCTATTATGAGAACGTTTGAAATAAGTGAAGCAGCCTTTAGTCCTTTAATATTTTCTTCTCCCGCTAACTTAAGTCCCCTCTTCTTTCTAATGAGTCCCTGCATCTTATCGGACAGACTGACAGTTGTGCTATGCCAACTCAAGTATGTGGTCATACAATGTATGTACACATGTGTGCAATGAAAATATATTGCATTGTCAGTAGTCTCCATAAACAGTATCACTTTAAGGTTGGAAGAACAATGAAACAGTTATTGTCCTACAAAATTACGCAGCAGTGACTTGTAAAAAAGTGAAGAAAATTGAAACTCACCATTCAAAAGATTAAAATTGCTGAGAAAAGCTGCCACTGGATCTTCTGACAACTGTAGCTCCAAATTTTCAGACATCCTGAAATGATAGCCTTAGTTTCACAAGTTATCAGAACTAACTCATTGACATTACCATGTGTAAAGGGTAACATGAACAGTGAAACAGTCACTAAATGAGGCAAAAGGGTCACATTATGCTCTATGTGCACACACTGTGCGTGCAGTAAACAACTCTACAGACCTTCTCATGCTGTATTTATATGGTGCAGGGATCATCATATTTCATGCCTAAATGACACTGCAAGTTTAGAGATCATCCCATGATGGCTAAGTGCTCGAGCAAACAGTAGCTTGTGGAGAAGCACAGGTCTAGCAATGTCTCACTTCCATGATTCTTACTCAACACACATTTTTAAAACCTAGAGATAAAAAGCGCTGCAGTTCACTATGAATAAAGTCTATCTAATTGTAATTTAAGTTTTAAGTAACAAAGAGTATACACAGATCAGATATTATTTACCATTCAAAAACTGGGCATGAGTCTATGGTCTGTAAGAGCAGCACCTAAGCTCAAGTTCTTCTGTATTATTACTGTAATTCACAGAGACCGTTCAACTCCATTATGAAAACAATCCAACAATCAATCAAACCACTACAGCAACAATTATAACAAGGACCAATTGTACCTGACAGCAAGTTTGAAATACTCTGTAGTAGCAGTTTTATTCATTTACCTAAAATCTACTATTTTTCCTCAAGGGAATAGCAAATATCTGAAATTATTTGGAGTTCAAGCCTGTCAGTTTACAAGCACCATCCTCTGTTTCTGACTGTTTGAACCACTGAACGGATCTGAATGTTTTATATTTTGCAACAGATATCCAGCTGCTGAGAGGACAAGGCCACATCGAAACAGCTTTAAACAAAAAAATAAGATATCAAAATTTTTATCTAACTCAGATCATGGAAAATTTGAAATTTTCTTAGCTGTGATTCAAAGAAGTCTACTCCTGGAGCAACAAAATCTGCTGCAAGTGCTCAGCAGAAGTGTAAGGGCTTTTAGAAATATCCAGAATTTTGCTAAATTACTTTAAAAATTTGTGCAGTACATCCACTCGATTTTCAGTTAAATGAGCAAAGCTTAAGGACACTTTGATAAACAGTATTTCTCCTGTAATTACATAATTTAGAACACAGGCATATGCACAAAATAACATCTCTAACAAGAACCATTTGGGGTACCACAATGTAAAAGGCTTTACATTTGCAGCCGTCTCTGTACGTTCCCCAACGTTAGTTGACATTCACAGCTGCCATTGCTGGTATTCTGCAGGGCTCTCAGGAAGCTCTCCAAAACATTAGAAAGCTTTTGGTGTATATATGGCATACTCTCACAATCCACCTTGTTGAAAGCAGGCCACATTCTTTCCATATCCTACAAAACACAGTGATCATGTGGTTATAAAATTCATGAGATTATGTTATTGTTTGAAGTAGCAGGTCTTGGCAACTAGATGATGCATATTTTCAAATGAGAACATGAGTAAGGTAATATTTGTCTACTCTTGTATTTGTAATTGAAACTGGGCAAGAGATTTTCAAGAACCAAGGAAATTTTCAAAGATCTGAGTTATTTGTGAATTTTACCTAGCCTATCAAAAAGATTCATCCATTACCAGCTATGCCAACATTTTAATTTTGAAATTTAGTTTCAAAAGGAAAGCAGCTTTTTTTTTTTTGTTTTATTTCAGGCTGACCTTTTTCCCCCCTTTTTCCCAAAAAAACTGCTCTAAACAACACCAGTTTCCATTCAGTAAAGCAAAGTATCTGGACACCCATAACCAGAGTTTTTCTTGCATTATGCTTTGTGTAGCATTCATTTTATCTTTTCTTCTGAATATTCACATTTCTGATTTTCCAAGGGTTTTTTAATATTTGCAGAAGTAGGTCATAGAATGTTGGTGACTACAGAAATGCATTTGTTCCAGAAACAAGTTTACTTGGAGATACGCATGATGCCTCTTATGCCTGTTTACCTTGAAATACTGCTGTTCATATCAGCAAAATGTCTCTGTAGACAAACTAGCAGAGCTATTTCATAAAGTGGAGGCAAATTCTAAACTAAAAGCATGACTTTAGTATTTTGTCTGTGTGTGCATGCAAGTGTGCACTATCCAAAGGCCTGCTTCCAACTCTGGATGAGTCTCTAATTGCCAAAAGTTACTCTCTTCTGATGGTAATTTCATGCACTGTTAAAGAAAAACAGACTGATCCCAACTAGTAACCACAATCACTATTTTAGCTTGAATGACTCTGGCCAAGAAGTTTATTTGTCTCTAGCTTGATTTCACAGCTGTTCCCGTGAAAATTTAAAAGTATAAATGTACTCTGATTCATGAAATTAGTAGTATCACAAAATTTAAAGGAATTAGAAAGGGACTGCTGTTTGATATTGAATGGCAACCTAATTTTTCTAGTTATAGGAATTCTAGTTCTTCTAGTTATATTTACAGCTTTCAGAACTCAACAGCATTTACTTAAGGAATTCCTTCGAGGTATCACTATCAAAAGCACTGGAGCTCTACCCTGAATGATGGACTCATCATTCAGATAGTAGGAAAAGAAGAAGAAATTCCCATTACTTTCCAAAGTTTAATGCATGTTGTAAAGAACACTTTTAGGTGTGGAAACCACTCAAACCTGATAATGATCTTGAACCAGAGTGATTCCTTCAATGACAGAGAGGAGTAAGTGACCCATTAATCCATCTTTACACTTTGTAACAACACAGAAAAGGTTGCCAATGACAACTGGTTCTTCTGTAAAAGAAAATGTTCAGGCTTAATCAGTTAAAAAAATAAATAAAATACCGTAATGAAAAGTTAACCAAATAAAAAGGGACAGAAATGTTTTTGAAAACAAAAAAAGTCTGAGTGTAGAGGCACTGAGAAATATTTCTGGCTAAATTTATCACTGCAGAGGGCAAGAAGAGCTAGTTGGATTCAATTTCCATTACTCTTCTCCATTACACTTTCCAGATCAATTATAAGAATAGCAATACCTGCTACAGAACCAAAGAAAACTGCTTTTTTGCTCTTTGTAAGCAAGAAGCGTAACTCTGAGAAGCTGTGCACATCAACCACATCTACCTCATCTTGAGGCAGGCTCCCCTGATCCTATTTGCCTGTGGAAACATCAGGACGTTACTAACCCTTCAGTGAGTAGTAACTTCCAAACTAAAGCTACAAGGAGAGAGAAACAGCATTACATAGACTTTCAGCATATCTAGGGATAAAGAAACCATATAGGGGATATTTACCACCTGATCATCCATGGAAGAAGTTTCTACCCAAGCTTTCAGCCCCCATGTCCCTGGAAAAATGCTCCATTCACCTGTCTGTAGTGGGTTTATACATGGGATAGCAGGGAAGGAGTTTGGCTTGACAGTTAAATTCTGCTTCATGGAAGGATCAAGTTTGGGGTTTCCCCTGTGGTTTTTTTCCTCATGTTTGGTTCATAAGTCAAGAAGGAAGAATAATAAACATTCACCACTGCTTCTAAACCAAGGAAACCTTGATCTTACTCACAGGAGTAATACAACGCAACACAGTAACGCAAACCAAGTCAAGCAGTTTTCATCTTTTCTCATTAGGTTTTGGAATGTTTTCTGTATCAAATGAAACAGTATGAAACATCCTTATGACCAGAGTATTAAAATAAGAATGACAAAATTTAGTTCCTTAATCTCAGTTCTCTCAATAAATAGACTGTTCTTCAGAGGTCAAAGACACATCTCAGGTGCCTGGCACACATTTTCAGTATCACTGAAAGCTCAGCCTTGCTACTGTTTTACTCTTTGGGAACTACATCTGTCACAGGAGAGTGGAGAAGGTAGTAAGAATTGGGATGTAATCACATCTTATGTTTTGTTTGGAAATGAAGTTGATATAAGACATTACCAATCTCTTTCTTTGGTCTAGAACAACAGGTTAATGCCTCTTAATCGTTCTTGGCAAACAATTCTGAGCATAGTTGGGTTAAAATATGAAGTTTGAAAACCAAAGGCTTTGGTTTCCCCAAAGAAAACATAGTATGAAATCACACCGTTAGGTCAACTGATACAAAGCCTTTCTTAAAATGCTCATCTTAAGGGCCTATAAGCAAGGAATAAAACAAGCCTATCACATTAAAATTTGAATAATTTGTTGAAGATGATTCAGCTAGAGTTAGCCAATTCACCGGTTCACCATGGCCAGAAGTAGAAGGTGCTGCTTCCTTTATATACCTGCCAAGTTTTCCCTTCTGTCAGCTATATGCGGCCTTGTGGTAACTCTGGCTCATTAAAAAAAAAATACAACCCTCTGTGACTTGACTCAGTTCAGTGGCCTCGCAGAAAATTATCCAGTAAAAAAGATAAGACAAAACCCAAATGTGTATACAGTCTTCTGCTGGGTTTGTGAGTCAAATGAAAAAAAAAAAAAAAAAAATTTGTTTTCCAAAAACCAAGAGGCTCAAACATTATTTTTTTTGAAAGAGCACACAGCTAAAAATGAAAGAAGCTCATTAAAAATGAGTAGCTGCAAGACTTCCTGCTTCCACTGAGATTTTGAATCAACTTGACTACTCCAAGGAACAAATCATCCTTTTATGTGATCTGTATCAAAATTTTTCCTGTGCCTCTCTTGCTTTGATTTCCAGGCATCACTATATGCATTGCTTGGCATCACCTGAAATAACTTATTTTTACAAAAGGTTCCTTATAGTAAAGCCTTAACATTAGAGTGACCCATACAGTCACTACTGTGGTAACTAACCTGAAAAGATTTTAAGAACGTTCAAAAAGGTAAACTGCAACTTCTGCAACAGTAGGACACTAGCAGGATATAAATGTTTTTGAAGAATCTTGCAGATTTTAGATGCACTGTAGAAAGATTAAAAAGAAAGCATTATTTTCATATTGAGGGTACCACAGAAAATTTTCAAATTACTATGTATGGTTGTGATCTTCAATGGACCATATAAGGATTTCAATATTAACAGTTTGACATTTGTCTGAATTATTTCAAAATCAATACATAACACTCCCATGTAAAAAAAAAAAAAAAAACAAACAAAACCACCCAAACAACACAACACAACACCAAACAGGTTTTCATGAAGGCAGCAAGCCATCAATCAGCTTTCTTAAGACCTTAGGAGTGCCAGAAGGTACCTTAGCGAAATAAGCAAAATCGTAACAGCTTCAGAAATACTGAGAGCCCACAGCATATACAGACTTGATGGCAAAGAGCAGAATACTCAAAATCTCTGACAATCAGCATTTGGGGAAAGTAAACCACTTTTCTAATATTTGCTTTTGATTTTTCAGATTTGGCTAACACCTGACCCTGCCGACCACTGGTTTCACATATTTGCATAAAATTAATCACAAAGGCCTAAATATCACATCAGAGTCATACATCAACTTCTATCTGCTGTTTCTCAGCTGGTCTATGTTAGTAGGATCAGTAGCTCCACCAGCAAAACAACCTAGAGCTGTTTGGAGCAACCATCTTGTGGGATTCATTCAGTGAGTGTTACTTAAACGCAGCAATTCCAGTCCAGCAGTACTTTTATTAAGTAATTTGTCAGTAAACTTCTTCCTGAAACAGTTTCCACTGCTGCTGGATTACATTTGATTTGAGTAATCTGGCAAAAATGACATTGAGCTCAAGATTCCTTCAGAAACTGTATTTGTGAAACTGAACAACTTAACTCTATAACCATAGCCCCAAAAGGGTCATCTTGTTCGCATAAGTCGTCAGCAAATTTAAGTTGAAGTCCTTTCAAATACGGTATATCTACATTCGGATTTAAAAAGAAAAAATAACCAGATCACAAAAAAATACCCCACACAACAAAACATTATTCCCAAGCATTCCTTAATGTTTAGCTCCATAGCCAAAATGACTGTTGTTCACCAATAACTGCGGGTTCAATGTTCAGACCTGCAAGGATTTTAACACACTTGTATCTTCAAATATTTGAGTCTGTAATAATTCCAAAGAAACTAACTCAAGTATTAGTACAGATGACTAAACACATAAATAACCTGGTCCACACAACATAATGTGATACCAAATATGGCTGGTCTGAACCATATAAATTGGTTCAAAATGCCATTTCACTCAAAAGTACAAATCTGAAACAAAAGAGTATTAACTTCAAAGTTTTGATTGAGCTGTTTACAAAGACCCTTTCTGTCATTGTCAGCACACTGTCAAAATGAGTACGTACAAAATGCTCACCTCATTTCTGACATTATATCCTTATGCAAATCCTTTAGTAAGAGGGTTATTTTGCTCCCGTCGTGTTCTGTGATAGACTGAAATATCATTTGCAAGATCTCTTGCATGATCTCCAGAGCTCTGTTTTGGAACTGAATAGAAACTTCTTCATATTGTGCATTATCAAAAAATGAATCAATGAGGTCAACTAACTGAAGCTCAGTATTGTTTGTATGCAGAGCTTCTTCTATACCAGCAAGATCAGCAATTATACGAAGGAGACTGTTTAGCAAAACTGAGTTAGCAGTATGAGTATTATCAATTTTTTCTCTAAAATGACCATCAACAAACAACATACCAGTGTAATCTTCGTTAGACTTATTTTGGAATAGTTCCAGAAAGTCAATAATGTCTTTGACAACCAGCGGTAGGTCATTCGATAAATTTTCATTAGCCATGAGGAGAATTAGAGCACGCATTATTTTAGGATAATTTTTATTGTTACACTCGCATAGAAAGCTATTCACAATCTCTTGTATGTCTTCCAAGTTTCTTAACATACCATCTACAGATGATGTATTAAACTGCTGTGTTAACACATCAAGAGCCATTGAAGAGGACTGTCCAGTGGCTAGCCTTAGTAATCGAAACTCTTGATCTATCACTGCAAGTAAGCGTCTAACATTAACATTCACCAATAAATCTTCTATGCTTGTGACTATAGGAAACCAGAAGTTCTCAAAGTTACCAGATATATTACTGTTTCCAAAAGCTGATAATATCATAAGCATTGAGTACGTCTGGTTTCCAACAGAAGACAGCGTCATTAAAGGCTGAATTACAGAAAGAAAAGAAAGGACAGCTTCTGTATTCAGGAGTCCAGAAACGTCACTAGTCATATTCTCAACATTAGTAAGAACAGTCTTTATAAGTGATGTTCTTGAATGTCTGTTCCAACTTAGACCACCAGAAAGGCCATCCAGCTGTTCAAGAACACCTTTGACCTTCTCCATTTCTGCCACCGGCACACTGCTCAGTGTTTCTACAATTTGTAAAGCCGCTTGTCTCTTTGGTGTGGAGGAACAATTGATTGAATCTGTGTTATTCACCCGCAGTGGCACAGCGTAGAGGGATAGCTCATTCCAAAAATCCAGCAGCTCTTTGAGAACCGAGACATTTACATGACGGAGCTCAGAAAACTTCAAAAGAATAGAGTTCCATTCTTGGATCTGATGAAAAAAGCAAGTCAGATTGTGAGTGATATCCATCTGAAAGTCTTCCATAGTGCATGAGGAACTGTCCAGAGTGATGAGTTTCAGCTCCTTAATGACTTCAATGACTGCATTGTAACTAAGAGAAGAATTGCTACGCACAAAGTCACAGGATTTAAAAGTGGGATCACTCTGAGGTATTGCTGTTGGGAAAGTCCCACAGAATGCTGCTGAAAAACAAACTGAGGCATCTGCACGTTCTTCAGACATGTCTGTCAGTGTCTCCAGTAATATCAGAAGACTTTCTACTTGACTAGACAACTCCTCTTCAGTAAACATTGGCATTTTCGCTTCATGAGTCAGTATGAAAGTGTACACTTCTGTTAGTGCTTCAGTGATGTTTCCATGAGCTAATCTTTCTGTAAGGCTGATGGCATCGAGGAGGAGATGGAACATATCTTCTACATCACAGAGCTCATCTTGTTCAAAAAGTCGTGTTATTTGCCATAAGCCAGTCAGGTTCCAACTACATGTACTGTTCTCAAGTGCATCCCACCAGTCTGTTAACATTCCTAACTCAGAGTTCTCAATATACAAAGGTTTGATATTTTCAAAGAAATTATCTAGGCTCCTCTGGACTTCTTTGAATTGACTTATCAAGAACTCAACATCCATGTTCCTCATATTTTGCACCAAGGCTACCATATGCTTTAGAAACTCTCTATCGTCTCTTGATGGAAAGCCAGTAAAACTAGAAGAGTTGAAAATTTTAAGTGCCTTCCTTACCAGTTCAATATTCAGAACTGCTGTTTCTATCAGTTTCTGGAGAAATGTTTTGTGTTCACCCTGCAAGTTTGAGTCAAGATTACTAATCACATATTGAAAGAACTCCATCAACAAACCTGTATTGTTCTCTTGCAAGAAAGGTTCATTCTCAGCATCCAAATGAGAGGAGCTGTTTTCTAGGATTTCAAAATCTTTATTTTTCAGAAAAGTTGGAATTTCTGCCAAAAGTTCTACTAATGAAAGCTGAACAGGGTGAAAAATATTAAGGAACACACTCAAAGTCCTGTTAAATGCATGGACTGACTGACTAAAATGAGTCTTATTTGATGTATACTGTGAGTGCCCCACTAAATCATTGACAACTATTTGTGTTTGTCCTCCAGTGTTATTTAAAAATGTAAAAATAAATTCAAGAACACTAATGTAATCTTTCACATAAAACTCAGGGAGAATAAATGTTAAAGTTTCTGCTATAATATTGAAATAAGCATTTACACAAATCACATCGGAACCAGTTAAGGAACATTCAGGGAGTATCAAATTAGAAATGAAATTAACGAAGTCCATCATATTCTTTAGCTTAGCATCTCTCTCAATGTTTCCAAGAGATTTCAGTAGGAATAAAATATGTTTTGCACTTTCAAAGTGGGAAGGTGACTTGTATTTTTCACTGAGATTACTTAATTCATGTATCCACCTGTTACAATCCTTTGTTTCATCCACTGTACTATAAAAGTTTAGAAAGGAAGTAAGATGAGATGAAAAATTTCTTTGTGAATGGCTTATGTCTTTCACAGTATTGTCCAAAATTAGTTTGGTAATATTCTGGAAAATGCTGATACAAACCATATACTTGTCTTGAGGAACACTTTTAAAGAAAGCAGTTGTGTCTTTTATCTCAGTGAGAATAATTCCAAGTTCCTTTTGGGAGAGCTTGAGAACAGCAGAAAGGGAATTTCCAATGGAAAATACAGTAGCACCCCTATCTTCTCCCTTGGATCCTCCTGAGATGAAAGTATCAAGCCAAGAATTCAAAAACTCTCCATTAACAACCTTCAGTATAGATTTCTGTAATTCCATTATCATGACTCCCATAGTTTCTAAGCCACCTTCTAAACTGTTACCTTTAAGCAAGCTTGTGACATCAACTGCATTGTTAAATACACTTTGAAGATTAGCAAGGAAAGTTTCAAAATCTTTCCAGTCATACAAATCACCACCTCCTTCAAACATGATTTTTAACAGATTCATTGCTGCTGTTGTAGCTTCAACAATAACCGTAGCTGTTTTATTGCACAGTTTGTCATGCGCTGCATTTAAAAGACTTTCAGAAAGATTTGCCAAATTGTTTCTTAGACAGACAAAAAAGGTTGAATTAAAATTTAAGATTTCAGACGCTTCTTCAAAAACTTCTGTCCAGGTTTGAAGCCATGTAAAAGTGCAGTGCAAAGCAGAAGGCACACTTACCTTACCTCCCAAGTTTGTTATATTAGACAGAACACTGTCCAATGGCAGCAGAAGTAAGTTGTAAACCTCTGTTGAATGATCTACAGAAGTAATGTTTGATTGATAAAAATCAACGCACCCATTATTTACCAGACATTCTGAGGAAATATCAAGAAAATGTTCCAAAGAACAAAAGGCAGCTGTTTGGAGCTCTTCATCTATAAACAAAGTTTTAAGGCTGCTCAGAGTGCTATAGACAACTTGCATGTCTTTTTTTCCTTTCTGTGCAAGAGACAGGGCCTGAAACTCTGTGTAGTTGTAAAAGATCAGTAACTTTTCACAGAAAGACTTACTGGTGAGGTTCCAGAGAAGATCAACGATTTCAGACAGAAAATCAAAAACTCGCTCCCTGTCTTGGAAATCATGCCATACTTGAAAAGATGAAATACGTTTTGAAGTCTCATAAAGAAATGTTAACATAGTGCTATTGCTCTCAATATTGAAGACCAGATCATCATTTTGATAAAGAGAGAAAAGTATTGGAAGAAGTGAGGCCACACTAGTACTGTTTATTTTTTGGCTGTTTTTTAAGAAATCGTGCACAATTTCTTCTAATTGTTGCACTTTATATATAAAAGTTGCATTTGAGAATAATAAAGAGGAGTCATTACTCACTCCGTGAATTGCACTGAAAGACACATTGACATGATCATCAGTCAATGATCTGACCTCATAGATGTTCCTTAGGAAGTTTTCACTTAAGTGTTTTAGATAGTTCAAAGCAGCAATGTTTAACTCTGGCCAATCGGTCAGGCTATTTTGAAGCAATAGCATACTTCTATTATGGATATTATTTTCTGTAATGGAAAATATAATTCTAGATAAGGTCTCCAGTACTTCCTTCTTTTCCACTTGACTCAAATGAGAGAGCCCAGAATCAAGTTCATAGAATACAAATTTCACTATATGCCCCAAAACTTCTGTCTTCCCTTTTGTCCAGAATCTCTGAAGTGGCTGGAAATTTTTTTGTAGCTCATTATGGAGTTCAGAAACTGCAAGTGAGAAATGGGTGGCAGATTCCTTCCCCTCAGCAAAATTTTTCATCCATATAATTGTATTATTCAGGACATTTTCGATTAGATACTGGTTTGAAGCAGCTGAGAAATCAAGCATTATAATTTCTTCTATGACTTCTACAAGATGAATCAGGTGATCCATTTCCTTTTCATGAGAAATCCTTAAGTTTTCTTCTCTTTTCAAAAACTCTTTGAACGATGTCAAAATCCTGAAAAATTAAGCATAAGTTTTATGCTTGTCAGTTACCTAGCAGACAGACAAGAATTGGTTAAATATGTATTTTATAATTTTAGAATACTGTTTTATTTACTTAAAGAAAGTTCAAATGTCATTTAAATAGCAGTCACAAATTAATCACCACAAAACCTTAAATAGCACAAGTGACAATCACTTCGGTTTTCAAAAATGTGACAAAACTCACTGAAAACTCACATTCAAATCAAAACCTGAATGTAGGCAGTTAGGTTAAAGAAGTGTGCATTTATCAGTAATTATGATCTAGCTTGTAAGCCACAAACACCTTTGAGTACGTCACATATTCAGCTGCTGAAAAGAACAAAACTTTTGTGCTCCACAGGCCAGTTGTTTTATAGAAGGGAATTTTCAAATAAAATTGATGAAAACCTCTAATTTTCCATGATTTCTGAAGAACTATTTTTGTTTTATCATAATTATTGAAAGCAAAAACATTCCAGTTGACAGACTTATAGCTGAACACTGTTATTTTAGCATACAGAAAAAAAAGAAAAAAAAAAAAACCAAAAAAAACCATGAAGTCACAGTGAAAATTGGAACACTCCAACTGATGTTTCCATTGTGTCAATACTATTTATCAAAAGAAAAAATGTTTACTAGATCTGTAAGACTGGTCAAGATTGAAGTGCAGGGAAAAAGGAGCTTTCCAATGCAAAGGTGTCAAGTTGAAAATATCTTCACGTTAAATATGTTTTCTTTTACTAGCTAAAATGCAGAACACTTTATTAGAAAGCTTTGTGAGGGAATTTCTGCATCAGTTACTGGAATGGCTTCTACAGGAGAGAAACCAAGCTATCAAACATTGAAAAAAAACCACCCATTCCCCACATAGAATCTCTTTCCTAGACCTATTGAAGTCAAAGAAATACCTCTGCATGTATAGCAAAGAAATCAGATGATTTTGTCAGTACTATTGTAGAGAGAAAGTAGTGAATACTCCAGAAAGAGTATTTAAGACCAAATCCAAACCCTTACCCTAGCAAATGTGCCTTCGTTGATCTTTATAGTGTAGTTGTGAAAAAACACGAAAGAATGATTGAACATTCAAGATATCAATTTGCATTCTACTCCTTAACTTCCATTTTGTTTTTACTGTAGATATCAAGAATATCTAAGATTTTGAAAACCCAAACCAGTTCTTTGATTCTAGAGCTCATTTTAATCAAGGTGCTAAAGTTTCTGTCAAGTTCTGCTTGAATGAAAAGCACAACATGATATGTCTAACCAGGGAGGAAATATTCGGTTTGATTCTTCATCTTTCACTGCATTGATAGTGGTTATTTCCATTTGATAGGTTAAACTAAGGATTGATTTAGCAAAGGGCTGAATAGCAGCATAATGGAAAATAAAGTTCAAAGTTCAGAAATGTATTTTAGAAAGTATTCTTACCTATTAACAGCTGTGATCGCATCGCATGGTAAATAGTTAACAGCACTTAATAACAGAGGCAGCACTCAACAATTAGTCTGAGGTTGTTCTATGAGGAATATTTTTTTCTCTTTTTAAACCAAGTGATAATTAAATGGCTTCTGTTTCACTGTTCATCTAGACATTAACAGGGCTATAATGCAAGTAACTTAGTGACAAGAAGCCCTTGTAACAATACATTGGAACTGTCAGGAGTGCAGCACTTCTGTTACTACTGATAACACACCAGAGATGGAGATGTCTTTTTTTTTTTTTTAATGATTTTGAGTAACAAAGAGATAAGTTTCTTTGCAGGATTCTATTTCTTCCCAGTAACACTGAAAAACACCAGTCATTTGGTGAAAAGAGGCAAGGTAATTATGTTCAAGAATTACAAAAGTCCAAAGTGGGGGTAGGATAAAACGATTTCTGGAAAACGGTTAAACAAAGAAATCACATTGACTAGTTCAATCTTACCGTGCCCAGGAAATAAATGAGGAATAATCTGGTAAGTTTTGCAAAAATGCTAAACGATGACCTATGACAGTCTCCAAACTGAGCTTTTGTCTAGAACAGAGAGATGGTTCTAGTCCATCTGCAGAGAAAATAAAAATTTCGAATCAGATAAAAAAATGTTCTTATGAACACATATATTAACAGCTTCATTGAATCTCACTGAGTCCTACCAATTAAGTAGGACTTGAACGTGTGCAGAAAAAGAAATACATTACATACATTTTAAAAGAAGTAAATGTGAAATTTGTATTAAAGCGTTTGCTGTTAGTTCTGAATTATTTAAAGGAATGAAATACAGAATCAATAAATATCAGCTCTGCGTAAGGCACACCTGTATTTTCCTTACAGAAAAAAAAGCAAATACAATTCCTTACTGGAAAAAAAAATATAGAAGATAACTTTTGAATTCTACATGAACTGTATAACTAGTTCTAACATGATTACTTTTATTATACCAGAGCACTCTTCATGCTGTACTTAGCACTGAAATGAACTTTAATATTTCTTTTCCCTTAGAGATTCAGTAAAGAGAAAACAGCTCTGCAAAATTCACTATTACTGCTCAGATAACTGAAATACCTGGAACTGTAATGGATTACAAAACAATCAATTCACATTTGAACAGTTCATTTCACTAATGCAGTTCTTCAATTAAAAAAACACTGCTTATTTTTGCATACATTCCATAGCTGCCCACTTACTGATGAGGTATTCACCATATTTCTGATTAGTTCTACAGAAAAAAAGAGCAGAGGAAAAAAAATAAAAGCATGTTCAGAAAAACAGATCTTTAGCAAGACCAGACCTTTCACAAATCACAACAACTAGCTTAAAAAAAAAAAAAAAAATCCATCGGTAACATAAATCCTTCAGAAGCTGGAAATATAAGTGGTCAAAAAATGGAAAAATTGGAAGCATGATGAGAATACTTAAAGGAAACAAATAGGTGATTCTGGGCGAGATAATTTTCTAGAGCTATTTGGATAAGCCACATTTTCATAGCTCCACCAAAACGTCAAGAAGAGTAACACAAATATTCAATGAGAAAGTATTCTGAAATGAAGGATCTCCCATTCCTCAGCATAAATCTCAGATATTTCGAAGTTTTCACCAAATTTATTCCAAGGAAGTCTAACAGCAGATGGGTCAGGACATCTGGAATATCACAAGACAACTGGGATCAAAAAAAATAAGCATGGAGTCTGTTCGTAATACAAAATAAGACTAGAAGTACCTCTACTGAGTGACCAGCTAGTCTGGTATCCCATTTATATCTTGAGCTTAAGAAGCATTCCTGACAGAATACTGTTGCAAAAAATAGAGACTCCAATCAGGTTCAACCAGGTAGAATTTTCTCAGCAGAAGTGGACGATTCCACTTCCAAAAATTTTCCAGCTGGCACTAAAATCACAGCTATTTACCAGAGTCAGGCTCTGTATATTGTAAATGTTCCTTGCTAATGATTCAGTTATCTAGTGAATCCTAAGGTTGGCGAAAACACAAACAGAAACAAACTCACAAATGTAAAGATCATCACTTTTTGCCTTTCTGAGGAATACCATACTCCAAACCACACAGGTAACCATCAGAATAAGGCTTGTACTGTGCAGTAGTTCTTTCCTCACCTGACTGACGTCCCATGGAGCCTGCTTCCTCCTTCATGTATTGAGCTACCTCACATGTCCAACTGACAAAAGTTGTTAAATCCTTCCAGTATGGGTTTTCCTCAAAAGCAAACAAAATTTCTTCAAGTGTATTATTAATTCTGAAACAACACAGCAAACAAGACTACCATGATTAAACCAGTGATTTCTTTCAAAGTGAAATTACCTTGTGAACATGTTTCTCTGTAAATCTCTAGCTAAATTCTGTTGCTACTTTATGTATAGAGGCAGTCCTACTGACATAGGGAAGAACTGAGGCAGGGAGGCTAATAGCAGAGACCTTTGCTAAAGAAGTCTGTGGCATAGCTGTTACATCACACTAAGCACATCTAGACTTTACTACACAGGTTTGTGAGCAGAAAAAAAAATAATAAAAAGCCTTTTAAGAAACCTCCAACAAAATGCTCTGGTTCAAAACGTAGCATCTTGAAATTGAAAACAATTATCAAGAAATGCTTCCTCTGGTCCTGAAACACACCTTTGAATTAAAAAAATATTGCTTTGTCCCTGAAAAAAGCAAACAATCACAAAATGCCTTGCATAAAGAAAAGCACTGAGCTTTTCTTGCTCTTCAATGTTACCTAAAGCCAAATCTCTGTTCCCAGGGGCCTTTTAGCTCTGTCAGTGTTTTTGATGCTCAAAAAAGGGAATATAAGACTAGTCCTCCTGATGATTTCATAGTCATTTAGAAACATGGAGGGAGAGAAGGCAATCAACCAACAACAAAAGGGATGGGAAAAATGACAAATTCTCTAACATCTAAGATGTTGTTAATATCTGTGGATTTAATCCCTGCTGCAAATACAGCTTGTAGAATTTCTGACAGATTCTTGAATCCTTAGAGTTAAGAGTTTTACTACTTTAGTAGCAAAATTTTCAGTCAAGTTTCTCATACACGTAAGTAATGTAGGCGGTTGTCTTCTGCACATGTTTAAGTTTGTGACCTAGCACATCTGTCCAGTATAAATGCAACTTCACATTAAAAGCATTATACTCATGTTTTACATTGCCAAACAAGAATAATAAAATCCTATCCTATTTTAAAACACATTATTGATATAGGGATTTGTCTCTAATACACTCTGATTTAACACCATTAAAGCTTGAAATCAGTAGAATTATTAAGCCATTGCAAATGACAATCAACTTACTAAAAAAAAATGAAAGTATTTTCTGCCAAAACAGAGAAAGAGTTTTTCAGAAAGTAACCTGAGGCTGCACTACCCCTCCTAGTGAACTTTCTAACTATCCTCTCTTTAATGTTTTCCTGCACCTCCCAGGAGTCTTTCAGATCAAAGTTTCCAAGCACCCTGAGCAGCACAGCACCACAGCTATGTCCCAGGAAGCAGGCTGAGAAGTAGAAGAAAATGCTTGGATCTGAGAAGATAAAAAGGGAGAATAGGCTTTTAGAATCTAGATACCTGCCTGCTTCCATCCCTGTCCCCCCAAATACTACCAATAATAAAACAAAAATCATCTCTACCTTCTTGTTTATGCTTAAAGAAAATTGTTAGCACTGGGTGGTAATCAAAACCAAAAGGAAGGTTTTAACATTTTCATCTATTCAGTTACTGGTTGTAACACCTTACTTCAGGCTGGTACCAGTCAGGATCTTTATGTATTAAACGGCATACAAGATACATACAGTGACAAGAGCAGCTGTTCCTGACAAGGGCCGAAAGGGACATCCTCCTCAGATGGTGTTTCTGTGCTCACCAATTGATTAATTTCACAGTAATAAGCATAATTTTTTGTTAGCTGCTCTTCTATTTCTTGCCATCCCAAATAATCATCCTTTATTAAATCTGGCAGGCTCTGTCGTTCCCGAGTTACCTTCTGCAGAAGCAGGACCTTTCACAGTAAAGAAAGTAATATTTGAAAGCAGTAAAAGGGAAACTCACCTGAGACTTTGCCCTCGCTTCTTAGATTTGTAATATTGACAATATTGAAATCCAACATACGATAATTGAAATGAGCAGTCTTTCAAACCTTCTCAATTTTTTCCGGAAGTCACAGATCCTTAGCATGACTAAAATGTCACATCAACTCATAACACTCTGCAGGACCTCTTGTGCCTTACACCCAAGCACATTATAATCAGCTTAAATGATCAGTTACCCATCCACTTACTAATAGCAAACACTAAGTAGTAAGCTACAACTCCTGCTAATTTATTTCATTTTGTAATAGTAACACAAGTAAGGCACTGCAAGCTTTAAACATTAAAAAAAAAAAAAATCAGAAATACTTACAGATTCCTTTAGTGACTGGACCTGGTTATTTAGCTTGAAGTTCACCTCTGAGCCATTGCCAGGGCACATGTATATTGCTAAAATGTCGATATCATCTGAGCCCTGTGGAAGTCTCAGGGTCTTCTCAAGCATTGTAAGCACATCATTGCATATATAGGAAGCATTGCTGATCAACATCTAAAATTTAATGAATATACTGTCACTTTAAAAATGAACTCAGGGTGAAGGAATAGATTTAATTCACACTCCATATTAATTCTCACAATGAAATGTCAAAAGACAAAAAAGTGCAAAGTAAAGTTGGACCAAAATGCTGCTGAATGAAAAGTGAAATACTCTCTTAGAAAATACTTTCTATCCCCAAAATAAGCCTCTGCAGCTTTATGCAATTAACAGACAAACATTAAACAACAACATACCTGGTTTAGCTCCACAAAGAGCTTTCTGATGTCTAGATGAATTAATCCATTTCTTTGGGCAAAGGGAATCAGTTTTTCCAGGCTACGTAAAGCTTCTGTAAGACATTTCCCACACACACCCCGTAAAGAAAATATTTAACCTACAGAGTTCATTCAGGAACAGTACAGTAGGAAGCATCCTTCTAGGAAGGAAAACTGTGCATGATACGGTTTAAAAGTATAGCAGTTACAGGGGCATAAAATTTCCACTTTGGTTTAGATGACATCCCTGCTCAAAGCACTCCATCATTTTGTACAAAGTATGTACACAGTTGCACTCTGCACTTCTGAGGAGCAATAACTGCTCCCCTCCTGCACCACCACTGAAAAAGGCTCATCAAGACAAAGCAGAAAGAAGAGACCAGTCTTCTTACACCAGTAAAAGCATAACCCTATCTCCTTTCACGCTTCATATCAGAGTAGATCCAATGATTTCAGTGACCTTTCATGATTTTCAGGAAAGGAAAATGAGGTCCTGTGTGGGCTTCTAGCTATGAATGCTGTAAATAAAGTTGGACTCTTTCCATATGTAATGGTTGATTTAGCCAGCAAATTATTCTGAAATATGGAAAGGTGGCCTAATTCCTTAAGCTCCCAGGCAAAACTAATCTCACCCGTCTCAAATAAAAGACAATCACAGAGATGTTACCAGGTCATGTTAGGGAGTTGCCAAATCCAGCAGCCCTACAGAGGTGAGGCTGCTGTAACTCCATGCCCCCAGGTCCAACCAGCAGGAAGGCTGGGCAGGTGGGCACACAAGCCAACATGTACACAGTAAATACACACGGCTGGCCACACAGATCAGCACATGCAGCGCTGGCACACATGCAAACAGCACAAACAGCCTCATCCTGTTCATGTCCCTGGTTGGTCAGGATGAAGGTCTGTTAGAGGGCATACATACCTATGTATATATAGGTGTACACACACAGTGTGGATCCCCCATAGCAGCTGGGTTCAGACACCCAGTCTGCTCAGCAGCTGACCCTGGATCCCAGTCTCCCTCCCCAGTTGCTGTCACCTGGGCATACAAGCCCTCAAGGCTGCAGCCTCTGCTCGCACACAGAGTGGATCCCTGCAATAACTGCTCTTGGACGCTCAGTCATCTAGCAGCTGGTCCTGGTCCCTCAGGTCCCCCTAGCTGCCTCACACATAGGAGGCACACAAACAGGTGTCTCGGTCAACCCCCAGACCCCGTGGTCTCTCTGGTGTTGGCCTGGACCTCCTGGTTCCTCCAATAGCTGACTCCTCACCGTCACAGAAGTGTACACCTCGCCAGCTCCCAGGCCACCTTACCCACCCTTCAGCTATCCCAGCCTGATACTCACTAGTGATCACACACTGATACACCCACCGTCACTCACTCTAATTTCTGGCACCACGGACCCACAGGTCCCGCCCCATTTGCTGGACTTGATTTTCCTTCACTCCAGTCCTTCCAGGTGTTGCTATGGGCCCATGTATGTCCTGTGATCTGACCTCAGTTGCTGCACACAGACCCCCATACACACACTTGCACACAGAATAGAGAGTCCGCACCCAGGAAAAGCATTACAAATGGAGCTCTTTCC